AAATGAATTTAAACAATAAAATTTCAATTATTCCAATGATTTACATAAGAGACTGAACTTCACATAGTCGTATCCGTTAGGGATAAATCCATATTGAAAACAATCAAAGCACAATTTCCGGAGATTCATTTGATATTTATTTCGATACTCGAAGAGATTTCTCAATTGTTGGTATAAAAAGAAAACTCGATTCAAAATCTCTCAATCGCGTCGAACTATTCAAGTCAAAAACCGGAATTCTCCACGGAGATTAACAGGGTTAAATCGATTCCGTCTTTTCCAATCAACATTGTATCATTTTTATGCGTTTTATTCGAAATCTTTACGAACTTCACCAACAAATTTACTATAGTCTCTGTAACGTGAATTTACGGCAGTTTTCTCCTCGCAACCCAAGATTAATTAATAAAAAAAAATTTGAATTTTTATTAAACTTAATTCAATCAAATTAATTATCAAATTAATTCATTGTTCGTTTAATAATAATAATAATAATAATAATAATAATATTAAAAAAAAAAATGACAACACATTGAGTGCATTTTTGTTGCAATAAATATGCTCAGCAATATTTCTAATGGCGATAATTGATTTGTGACAATTGAGAAATCATTAGCGTAAATCAAAGGTTTAACAAAAGTAATGCTCTAAAGAAGTTGTAAAAATGCAATGAAAACAGTAATAAAATAAACGAATTTAAAGCGTACATTACGCTAGTGTGCAGGATGACTTGTGCAACAAGCATTCAATACCGTTGGAAAAGAAATTAAAAAACATATTAAAAGGATCCAATTAATACATGTTGGTTTCATGACTGATTATTGTTAACAAGCTAAATAAGTAGAAGTTCGGACCGAATGTTTTGTACCCATCACCGTTCATGAGCAACGAACAAGAGAACGGGAAAGCAAAAGTGTTCAGAGTTTTTCTTATATAAGGGTGTAGGCGTTTTAGGCGTGTTCTTTGAAAAGTTTGAGTCATTTCCAAATTCCTTTGAAAATGTTTACCATGGACACTACACAGTTGCGCAGAGGGACAGATGGACGGAGGGACATGTTTAGATGCATTTTGATGAACTTATCTGATGGGATTTTTTGTGCTTTACTTTACTTCTGTACCTTATACATGTTTAAAAAAAATGAAGTTATGACACACTATAAAATTAGATGGGCGTGGCCAATTGTTTGCTTTTTGTACCACAGCGTCACTTTTAGAATATAGCGTCCAATTTTTCTAGATCCATCTGCAGTAATTTATTAGTCATAAGCAAAAAACCAATTTTTTATTCATTTAGAAAAACAAAGATCTCCTCACTTAACGTAGTGCTGTATACAGGTCCTTCGACCGATTTGTATATCAACCTGCGTGCAGGAACTTGCAATATTTCTGTCAAAATTGTAGTCGATGGGTTCATTTTTGCGGCCAAGATACTGTTTACAACAGTCCAACAGATGGACAATCAATGTAATCAATCTAGAGTTTAGTATTGATCAAGAAGCTGTGCGATCTCCGAAGCTTCCTTCTGCATGATAGGAGATGCGACTTCAATGCGTGCAAGTTCACACCTCAGTAATGTTTGATGACTGCACTTGATCGTAACTACAGTGAGTGCTCATTCGGCAAAGGCACTTACCGATCGGGCCCAAATTCACTGAGCTTCTACCGCTTTCTGTCTCTTTTTCCAGACACTGAGTGTGTAGGTTGCAGTCCCTAACTGGTCATATAAAAAAAAAAGAAGAAGAGAAAAAGGGAGGACATTTAGGGCTCCGGTCCCTTAGAGAGAGCTATGCGAAGTGCACCTTAGAATAGGAATTACTCAAAAAGCTACAACAAATTTCCTCAGCACATTGAGTTAGAGTTTTCCATTAAAACCGTTCAACTTCTTTACTTTTTGGTGGACGCAAGGTCAAGTTGTTACTCAATATATATTAGAAGAGGAATCAAAGAGACTGGTAAATTCGGTTCTTTAGGTGGCTTTGTTCTCTTTATTGTTCGTTCTTTTTATTAGGATGCATTTTAATAAAATATTCATTTATCGAACAAAGAAATGAAAGAAAGTGAACACTTAGATGCAGTAATGTATTGGTAATAAAAGAAGATGAAGACGCAATCAGATCTAACTCCAATCGTTTTTGCCTCTTTCCAAAGATATTTTTTTCCGCAACATTGACTATGACTTTTAAATTTATTTACAAACTTTTATACTCGTCTACTAATTGTGAACATTGTTTTTTTTTTTGTTTTTAATCTACCGTAATAACATATTACTTTTTTTTCCCCTTAATTAGTTTAAATTGGTGATACTTATTTGCCTAGGGCTGTATGTAATGTAAACGTTTGTTGAAGCGTAGATAATAGACTTTAACAGATTAGAATAAATGTTATAATATGAACTCAGATGTTGTGACATAACCTCAAATGTTATGATATAACCCCATAGCCTTGAAGACCGACATCGTAATCGTATTTTTTTGAATATTCATACATCGACTGTAGTAATAGTGAAAACTATTGAAGAGAATATAAAAGGAAAAGATGATAGAGACAAAAAGGTTACAAAGAAAGAAAACAATATGCTCAACTTCATATAACAAAAAAAAAACTTTCTTCAATCTTATAATTTCTTATCTTTCTCAAGTCTATACGGACGGAATATTAAAAGTTTGACTAAACCGTATGAAAATTTTCCCTCTTTCAAAACTTTCACATAGAAAAGTCTGATTAATAGGTTGCAATATTAATGTGACAAGTGCAATTTTAGAAGAAGAAGAAGAAGAAGTAGTAGAAGAAGAATCGAAATCTGAACGCCTGTGATGTACATGTATACATATATTTTACCAGGAATAAAATATCTCTATTCTTTAAAAACAACTAGGGGACTTAAACAGGAATTGATGGTTAACTTGTTGTAGAGATATCCACTTATCTATTTTAATATGACTTATCTATCTATATATAAATAACAACTAGCCTAACTCTGTAGCTAAAATGTTGTCGTAACTTATGTTTGTTTAAAAATATGTATATATATATATATATATATATATATATATATGTATATGGCTAAAACTTGTTTATTTTATTTTTATATAAATAAGAAAAAAAAAAAAACAAAAAGCGCTGGCGATTTGTTAACTTTGACTTTGGCAAACATTTAAAATTGCATATATAAGTGGATTTTTTAAGCGAAACCTGCGAAACCGGGACAAAAATTGGAAATACAAAATTTGGCTGCATTATTAAAAATTCGTTAAGAAAATTTCCTGATGTTTTCTTTCTTTTTTTTTTATGAATATATTGAATAATGAAATTTTTTATACCCGCCAATCCCAAACGGATCGCATACCTGGATCATTAATTTGTTTGCAATATCAGAAGACTATATAATAATATCTAAATCGGCAGAATATAACGGATGCATTTAATCATGCTTTCGCTTGTTTATCGAGTCAAATTGCCGACTTCTCTTAAGCGCCTTGTAACTTTTTAAATCAAGATTTTGAACTCATGTCAAGGCAAAGATAAAAGATACGCGTCCTTTCTACGCGGGAAGAAGCGAGTCGCTCACCCTATGATCTAAAGAGGCGTTATCTATCCACTTAATCATGCTTTCGCCGGTCGGGCCGTTGTCTCTTAAGCACCCTGTAGATTTCAAATCAAGATTTTGGACTAATGTCAAGATAAAGATCAGAGATATGTGTAGGACTCGAATGTGGTATTCCTAAACTTGAAGGTTTGCACTTTTGTTATTTGTCAAAGAGTATTTTCTAATTTCTAATATCTAAGTATCAAATGCGAACAATAATTGTTCGGAAAAAAAAAACCAAAGAAGATTTTTTTCTTAACCAAGAACATTATGGTACTCTTAGAGCGGAAATAAATCGTCACAAATGCTACAAATGTCTCATCGCGAAAACGTTAGCGGCAAGTCGCTCAGGTGTATTTTTTTCATGTCCGATTGACTTAAACATTACTCTACATCTCTCTACTTTAATACTTGAACCCTTAACCAAAGCCATTTGTCCCGTCTGCGAATCATTTGTTTCATACCCGATTAGGCATTGGTGCTCTTGAAATCAAAAGTCTTACAAAATGTCTAGCAAAAGCTATCTGCCCTATTTGAGAGTCATTGCTTTCTTAATCGATTAGATTTCGATGCTCCTATCCAGCTAACCAGCGACTTGACAAAGCCACCCCACACTTGCTGTAGCCTATCCCGATCACCATCAAATACAAGATACGCAGTCAACTACGCACTCATAATGACAAAATCTTATGAGGAAATCCGACAAGAACGTATGGACGTATGCCCATGTGTGTGTGTGTATTTGTTATACACAGTTAACTGGTTAAAGTCATATAAGCCCTTATAAAACAAAACTGACACTTGAAGTATTTAGTCGTAATTTAATTGGATAAACGAAATTTTCTTGTCTTTTTCGGGTTTGTTGAAGGCCTTTGGTGAATGGCTTTTCATATATAGACTTCTCTATATCTCCAGTAACATGTCATAATTTTTATTTTAAAAAATTCATAGTCATACGAGTTTTTCCTTTACTTTGAATTATTTGACAAATTTAAAAACTTTTGATGATAAAATTTTGTTAATTTATAGGTTATGTTAGACTTATTGGTGATGAAGTTAATTTCTGAGTTGAGTAACATGCAGTTAAAGTTGGTTGTGTTCCCGCCAACGACATCATGTAAACTGAAATTTTGATTTAAACGTAAATCGAAAGCTTGACCCTGCTTAGAATGGTAGAAGAATCCCGTGAAATAATTGAAATTCTCGATATCATCCTATCTTTAAAGATGTAAAATAAATACTTATCAAGATTATAATCCAACTATGGTTGTATTGATTATCTTAACCAATCCATCGGTAGCGAGGGTAATTAAAGAAAAATTGCAAAATTATTTCTATGTTTGACTTGGGCGATGGTGAATATCCAAGGTTTGCTATTGTTTGCTTTATCACAATTCTTGTAACTTTAACTTACTCGTGTAAACAGCGGCAGCCTGGGTAGTGGCAATACTGGTTATTATGAACCATATGGTGCCTAAAATTGTTAGCATTAACCCTTTATTTAAGCAACAGCATTGCTTGCAATTACGGTATTCACGGTGATGTTGAAAGCACTGATTGTGGAGTTTATTGTCGAAAGAAAACATTTTGAATTTGTTTTTTTTTCTTCTTCTTCTTCTTCTTCTTTTCTCAATTCAATTGCCAAATAATACCAAAACCGAATTTTTGAAAATCAAAATAAAATCCGTTTTATTAATTTTTAAACATATTTATTTTCTTTTTGTTGTTGTTATTGTTATTTTTCTAAAATTAACTCGTGAAAAATATTCTTTTTTTATTAATCAGCATTTTATTTTTTTATTTAAGAAATAAAGAATGAATAAAAGTTCTTTACACCTTTGTTTATAACTTGTTTTATGTTTATCTTCTTTTTTTTTTTTCTCAATTAAAATAAATTAATTTATTCACGAAAAAAATGAAACAATATTTTTTTCTTTCTCTTTTATTTATTTATTTATTTTTTATTTATTTTAAGCACTTATTTACGGTTATTCGCTGTTATAGTTGATAATAAGTAAAAGAATGAGAAAAAATGCGCACGTTTTTCTTTCTTTCTTTTTTTTTTTATTTTGTTCCTTTTTAAAAATTGTTATTGTCTTGAACGACCTGCGAACGTTCGCGATCGAGTCTCAGCTTCAAACTGATTTTAACCATTTGGTAAAAGGCAGTTTATGGGAAACAAGCAGCCACATAGCCATTATAATTTAACTATAAACGTATGAGCACATACGTCGGGGCTACACTTAATGCGGTCGTGCATGTCAATGTAGTAATGTTTAGTTGTTATAACATAACACACAATCATCGATCCGGCCATCCATCCATCCATCCGTCCATCTATCCATCCATTCAACTCGCTTACTCACGCAAATTGATCTTCTTTTCATTCCTTTGTTTTTTTTCTTTTCTCGTTTGCTCTTAATTTTCCTTTTCGCTGCATTAGTCTTTGTATTGCTTTAACGACTCTTACGGTTCAGTCGTGAAGATAAAAGTCAAAAAAAGCATTCGATGACGAATTATTCTCTCTCTCTTTCTTACTGCCAAAGATTTTTTCTCTTTTCATCGTTTCTCTTACATTTTCTCTTTCAAAAGTTATTGTTAAAACTTTTTTAAAATGTTTTAAAGAGGAGGGTAAAAAGATTTTAAACCAGATCACTTTCTGTGCAAAAAGTATCCGGAATTGTTAAATAGAAAAAAAAAAATATTTCCTCAAAATTAATCGATTTCAAAGAAGGCTTCATTATGCTTGTAATATAATAAAATAATTGCACTTTCCATATCTCTGAACTTGGGTCTAATAGGTTTACACTGCATTTTTTCGCCCATTTGTAAGACATACAGATATTTCAGACTTGGGTGTGTGAGGTCATTACACTTTTCCATTGTAACTGCGTTTATAAGAATCTTCGCCCGAAGAGCTGCCACCAGATTCATTCTAGCACCACGATTGAGAGCAATTACCAGGGCAGTGATATACTGGCCTGCCAACGAGAGGCACTTTACATGAGCTCACGGTGGCTTGGTTTGAATCGCAAGAGCACAAACGTCATAAGTGTCGAATTGCGTTATACCTGAGACGCTAAAAGCCCAAGTTCACTGCAACAAAGGCCGTAAGTATTGAGCGAATTGTACGGCAGCCAAGGCCGTAAGTGTCGAGCCCTACAGTAAAAGGCGGCCCTAAGTATCGAGTTGCACTGCAACGAAAGCCCTAAGTATCAAGCCTCACTGCAACAAAGAGCTTAATTATCGAGCCCCACATCAACAAGGATCCTAAGCTTCGACACCCGCAGCACCATAGCATCTATATGTCGAATTGCATGGCAACAAAGACTTTGGTGTCAAGTTCCACAGCAGCAAATACTCCAAGTGGCGAATTGCACGACAACCATAGACCCATAAAAGGCAGAAAAAACTCCGTCTTGACTCATAATATGCCTATAATTCAGTCTCTAATCCTTCTCAGAGAATTGAGAAATACATCCTACTTTATTTTATTTCATAACATTTACTCCATATACCATTGGACATATGGCGGATTAAAAACTTGCACATATTTATATATATATATATATATATGTGCTTCTCCCGTCTGTTCCCGAAGAAACCCCTGACGCAAAAAGGAAAATAAAAGGGTGAGCCTCTCATCTAATGACCACAATTTGCCTCGCAATGGAAAATGATCATAATCTGCCGATGCACCCTACGATTTATTGAAAGCTGTTGGTGCCTTAACACACAAGCTAGCAGAGGGTATAAAACCTGTAACTTGAAACGAATAAATTATTTCCGTTTTCTTTTTATTTTAATTGGAAGAAGTTTCGATGACGTTGAGTTTTCTTTAGGTTATGGTAAGTTATAAAAATTTGAATCATCATTTTTATTATATCTTATCAAATATCCGATGATTCATCGATTTGCATACGCGCCGCTGTTAGTTTACAATTAACCCATATTTTAGCAAAATATTGATCGTACCGTGAACGTTAACGCATATGGCAGCAAGCTGGTTATAAATATTCATTTTAAAAAATTTATCAGATGAAGAAGAGGCAGAGAAAAGAAACGTACAAGAAAAACAGTTAAACGAAAAAGAAAAAAAAATGTTGTTTGTGTTTTGCGCTCACCGCACATAGCAACAAGTTTCACACTAGCTAAGTAAAATTGAAGTCATTAGCTAACAAGACGTAACATTTGTAGATAAAGTTCGACTTATTTTTATAAAACATTGAAAAAAGAGCATTTTCTGATCAAAGATTTTATAACTCTATTTTAGTTACTAATACTAACTAAAATGTCTTTAATTATTTTGTGTTTTGAAAAAAATGTTTTCCTCTTAAGAGTAGAATGCAAGCAAATGCGTGAAAGAGTAAAAAATAAGCAAAATGTTTTTATCGATAACTAAACTATAACTTTCTTAAAGCGGATCTTGGATACTCATTCACATTGGCGAATGTGTGTCTATCTGCGTTATTTACCTATGATTCAGAATTACTCACCGTAATGGCTATAGAAACATATATACATATTACTATATGTATCGGCTAATAATTCCCGGGACTACATAGCAAAAACATTTTTCTGTAAAGTTCCCCTTTAACGAGAAACATTGTCTGTTTCAAAAGTAAAATTTTTTTAACTTTTCGAGTCCGTCTTTTATAAAATCGTTTGTCAAGACTATATAAATATGCTTTAATTGCGACTATGACTTCATTATTAGCTAAAAACCCTTTTCCCTAAAACCTTCTTGCGAATCTCACAAGCAATAAGAGATCTGAAGAAAACAATTAGGTAGTAAATCAAACTACAATTTTGACACTACAGCCATAGAGAAGATGCATTCGCTCACATCTGAATAAATCGGGTATGTATTTGAAAAACTTCTGTCTTAAGTCTAAATCTTGCTGGTAACTAGCGCATATAGCGCTCTTGACATCTCTCGGATATCAGCCGACCCTTGCAACTTCACTCTCTTTTTATCGAGAATAAGTCTCCGAATTTTTTGAATGTTACCTGAAATATTTTCAGGCTTGGCTTGAAATTTGGTACTTTCTAAGAAAAAAAAAAAATTAGTGTTAGAGACGACATCTATTTATGAGCCCCGAGTATTATTGGCCGATTTGATGGCTTAGGTGATATCGCAATTTTGCAGCATACGGAAATTCTGCCTTTTCACGCACAATTCTTTAAGGAAATACTTGCAGTTCTAACCTACGACGTTCTACCCACGTCACTGTTATTAGCAAGAATTACTCCGATAACCACGGATTTCAATAGGTGACCTATTGTTTGCGCGAACTATGCTGCGATTCTTTTGACGAATATAGGTTCTTCTGGGCGAGGCGTTTTTCATGTTGCAATTGAAAAACTTCCTGAGGTGTGGAAAAACGTTGTAGCCGGCGATAGATATTACCTTGGGCAATCTTGTGTTAATTTATATCCCCAATAATGGACGCATAGTACTTATTTAATGACATTGGATATATTGCAAAATAATAAAGAGTCGCTGGAGGAAGCAAATATTTTCGCTCCCAATGAAATGTTGTATATTTATGTTGCTACAATTCTTCCAAGTACAGGCCTCTGCCCTTACATTTGCAGCAGAGGGGCTAAAACTCATTTCGTCTCCGATTGACTTTTTTTCTAAAAACAGAAAGTTCTTCGTGTTCGTTATGGCATTTAGTTTACAAACCAAGCTCGCTCCAGATCCGTCGAAGAATTTTACCCACAATTCTTTGAGAGATCGATTTTTTGCTAGAGATAATAAGTTTCTCTCTCGAGAATTATTGATTAATATCTTACGTATGTAAACTTCTAGTTGAAAGTCACTTTGTTCTCCTAAATCTCTTTTGTCACGTCTTAGTTTGCGATTTGAAACAAACCTCACAATAATATACGAGCAGAAAGCCATGCATGAAAATTGTCTCAGAATCTGCGGAACCAAACAGAACGACTGCCGCAAAATTACGTATAGTGATGTTCGTAAGAATTGGTATTAACATCATATCATTAACGAAAAACATTTTCGACTTTCGTACATATACTCATTACAAACTGACAGCACTAAAAAGTCGAACTTTGATTATTGTTTACATGTTGAAAAAATTATCTTTGAATACAATTAATGACAAAAGTTATGGGAAAGTGTGTGTGTGTGTGTGTTTAAAAATTAAAAGAGAAAAAAAAAAAAAACACCTTGCAGCTGTTTGCCCGGTTTCCATACATTTCAACAATTTGTTGTTTCTTTTTTTTTTTTTTTTTTTTTCTTTTTTTTTGAGACTTTCGTGTGTACGCATAATTCTAAAAATAAACCACTCTCCATAACGTGTACTACATCATGAATACAATGATTGATAACAAACAATAAAACAAACTAAACAAAATATCGCCACTAACGACAAACGTACGTAGACGAAATACATACGTATATAACTGGTTTGGCTGCAGTTAATGTTATACCATTTTAACTTAATGGAAATGTTGGTTTCATGGTATGTGCATTTATTGGATAGTCATGCAGGCTGACTGTCAGGTAAGCCCAGTAGCTTTGCCATGTTTTGACTTTTACGTTCATACCTTTCTTTGGTGTATTTTCTTAATGCCACCAATAATAATAAGCGCAACACCTGGTTTTCTGAGAAAATACAGCACAAGAAGAGGGAAAGAGTGTTGGAATAGAAGACCGAAGAAATGATAATCTCACGTAAATATGCAGTCAGCTGAACTAAAAGTGTATTCTCTAACTTTTTAATTAAATTAAAAAAAAAAAACACTTTGTTTATTTAAAGTAAACATATATTTAAAAATAACATATGCTTCTCATACATGCATATGTATAGGTTTCAACTCCAATAAGCTACAAGGACTACTACTACTATCACTGTTACTACTACTACTACTTCTACTACTGCTATTACTCTTTAAAATGCTCTCTTCCTTTGGTTGGTTCTCTTCGATCTTCAAACTCTGAACTCTTCGCTGGATATCTTACTCGAACTTTTCTTGTTTCAAAACTCTTCATAATAAGATCCCTCTCTATTCGTACGAGCTTTCAGTCACGTTCGTTTGGCTATTGTTGTTACGTATAATAAGAAAAGTTGCATTTATGTAATTTGTTATTGTTCAGTTTATATGGTAGTTAAATGTGTTTACTAATATTTTAAAGGGGAAAAAATTAAATATTCCAAAACAGCAGTTCCCAAACTGTAATGTCTGGTTTTGTCTCTTTTTTTTCTGTTTCCATTAAAAAGGCATCTTATTTTAAAGCATTTCAGACTATTGTCTACCGCTAGCTATACACATTTTCCGTCTTTCTAAGCAAATTTTAGTCAAGAATGACTTGTCTATTGAGATTATCTATGTGAACTTTCAGTTTTGTCCTATCACCGCAATAATGAAAGCGCACCCAACAACTCGGTTCCTCTGATCGTATTATTTGCGGCACTTTGTGTTGTTGAAACTCTATGCCCGAAATTTGCTTTTCCTACGAATTTGTGATCAAGACGGCCTAATAACTGAGCCCAAAAACGCTCGTCGTCTCACTTTGCGGTTTAGAAGAAAGTTAACACCTCACACTATCTGTGCGAACTATGCACCAAGCGTTTGTAGACCGTGAATTGCATTTCATGCAAATATTTTCTTGACTCGTAGGCACGTCTATTTCTTGTTAGCATATATACTTGTCTTGTGTTGCATATTTTGCCGATGCAGTTTTTCAAAGACGTTCCATCATTCACTTACTAAGGGAATTATAAATATCGGAAATTGATGCTACCGCACGTAGCCTAGATTCGAATGTTAACAAAAAGAAATAAATAAAAACAAAGAAAAACGGAAATGAAAACATTATGGTCGGGTTAGGTCGACCTTTCAACGAATTTAACTGAATTCTTAGTTTTGCCAGTGAGCGTAAACATTATAACCCGTTCTTACATGACCTTACTTTTATGGAACTGTATCTTAAAAATTAGAATTCTTTGCAAATAAAGGCTTACTTTCTGTAAAATGACACGAGCCTAAGAGATTTCAAAATTGTGGTCCACTTTCCAAATTCAGCATAGTTAATTTTTGTATCACACCACTATTACGAATCAATTTCTATCATAAAATATTCGACTTTTGTGCCCAATACAACAAAAATTTTGGAGTGGTATCCAATAAGTTAGCCAAGATGGTTCAAATTTGGTACAATTAATTTGTTATCTTAAATTGCTACGATAAACTGATTTTCATCATGAAGCGTCATAAGAACTTTAGTTTTCGTTATATAAGTGCTTTTCAAAAAATTTCCCCAGCCAGTCCAAAATTTAGAAAGCCAAAACACTATGACTTAAGCTCTTTTGAAATTTTGAAAATTGCAATTTCTTCCACAACTTTTTAAAACAAGGCGTTATATGGCGTTTAGTGGAAAAAGTAGACCGATCCAAACCATTTTCATTAGCGCTCGTCCTTGGGTCAAGACACGTCAGCCTACCAAACTTCATCGAAATATCGGAATAATTGCGACCTGTAGCTTGAACAAAAATTTACATGGACAGGCATCTGCCGGACAGACGGACAAATGGATAGGTGGACCCACAGATGGACAAACTTAGATCGATTTAAATAAAAAGTGGAGTTAAGCTTTTCTGCGTGTTACATACGTCTGCACAAACTTAATATATCTTGTATCACGAGCGGTGTAGGGTGTAATGAGAAAATTTGGAAACTTTTTGAAACGTGAACTGAAATTCTAAAGTTAGACAATGTAACTGTCAAGAGAAAGTAGACATAAACTCAAAACAAACAAACAAGGGTTAAACAAAAAAAAAAAACAACACGAATAGAGAGACACTATACATATACATATATATTTTTTTTCAAAAATTTCTTGAAACATAATTCTTTCATAAAACTTAACTTAACTTAAGAGTAAAGAAAAGTTATTACACTCACCACCGAGTAAGGAAGGTACATTCATTTCATCAGAAAGCTTACAATATTCAGAAGAAAACGTTAGAGACCCGACAAGTCAGAAAACCCTGCACGTGTTCTTGATTAATATCATCGTCGATACGTCTGTAAATGTTCTTCATGCCGCAAAAATTAAGACAAAATCAAAATTGAATTCTTTCTGTCGAAAAAATAAAGACAAAGACTTTAAGATTGGGAAATGTAGAAGAAGTTGGAAAAAGGGGAAAAAAAAAGATCGGTCAACAAAGATGGGCCGACAATACAACGTAAATTGAGAAAATTTTTGCTTTTCAGATTTTTTACTTAATACTTCGATGCTGGCACAGAGAGAAAGATAAAAATTTCTACGTTCATCTTATCCCTGACCCCATAAAAAAAAGGAAGTAATCGCTAACCTGTACCCACTCCTATAGAGTGACGACATTTTTTTTTCAATTCTTTGCAGCTTATTTAAGTCGATGTGCGTGTGTATAAAAGGTTCGACCACAACCCAATGTTATTGTTTACGAAAATTGTTTCATATAAGCATTACTTGAAACTTTTTAAAAACTTTATTTAAATTATGCAAGACCAACGAATAAGAAAATCTGTGAGTCTATGAGCGAATCTTTTATGTGCACGATCCCTTTATTAAATAAATCAAAAAAGAATAGGAAAACTTAAATTTTCATTCTCTTAAATATATTCGAGTGGACGTGGCTGGTTTTTGCCATTTTAGCAAAATATTTCTGGAGACTTTCATGCAGAAACAAAGATTTTGCCTTGGCATGCCCCTTTGACCGACTTGGCTCATTTTCACTATCAACCGGCGTGTAAAGCCTCTCAACATTTTTGCCAACTTTGATGCCAACATTTTGTCTTTCACGATCGGGTGAATGTTTACCACACCTCTCTACATCGATAAAGAGCGCAATACTGAGCAAGAACAAAAAAACTACATACGAGGCGGGTTCAAAAAAAAAGATGGTTTTTTGTTTTTCTCGAAAAATAATTATTTATTTGACAATATCTATTTTATCCACTTCAAGGTAATCCACCTTGGATATAATACACTCGTGCCAGCGCTTTTCCCAACCCCCAAAGCACTACTGATACGCACTTTTTGTTTGGCATCCTATTATATATTAAAATACATACAGTGTATATTAGGGTAAGAATGCACATATGTCGTAGCGTTGCTTAGGCTTGTTTCGATTTGACAACATGAATATATGGCCAACTCCCGATATTGGTATTGGTCGGTATAAAAGTCTTTAGATTTCATGCGTTGAAAAATGTTCATTATTTTCACTTCCTAATAATCTCTTCCCGCTTCCAACGTTTTTGCGTCTTTGTACTAATAAACACTACATATATATGTTAGAAAATGATATGCTTTCGTAGCACTTTCTCCCAGTGTTGTGCCCTATTTGCCTTTAATAATAATAAAGTTCTAATACTCGAGTTAGAGAATTGACTTATGAGACCTTAAACAACTTGATGTACAAAGAGGCATTAAGCTTCTGCGGATGTATGCAAAACGCAGAACAAGTTAAGATAGATCGATCTTTTATTATACCGAATGATTCAGTGTCACTTTCTACATCGTTCTCACCATCCGTCCGTCTGTCCGTCTGCTTTTTATCCCACAGGTCAACATTTTTGCCATACTTTCATGAAATTTGGTACACCCACATATTTTTGGACCAATGACGGACGCTGTTGCAACTGATTTGGACTGAACCACTAAGGCATTATTTCGAAAATTCGTTATATGAATAACTGTATTTAGCGGAGTGATATAGGCTGTCTTATAAGAGGGCTTTCTAGGATAATCCAGTTGTCGGATTTTTATTCATATTTATACCCATTCCTGCAGTAATTAGAAAAAAATGTAGTTCTCGACATAAGGAATGAAAGTAAAAATTGTATTTATTATGTATTTAAGTTTAGTTAATCGCAATTACCGGAAAATACTCACATATTGAAAACATGAAAGAACTTAAGATTTCTCTTTACATTCGTTCCATCCTCCTATTTCAAAGTTGACCTAGATAAATATTCATCGCGTAGCGTTTTTTTGAACCAAAGAATATTAGGGGTTAGAGGAGGACAAATTTCAAAAACAAATTCTTTCAAGTTATCTACGCTCAGCTATGTTAAATTTCGACTAATGTACGCCTTATGGTTTGTTTCTTGGTTATTTTCTTAGCTTTATTTAGTTCGTTCACGCACCAACGTTAAGCTTAAAGCAAAAGAAAGCTTTCTTTTCGTATATTGCACCAGAGAGACCGCTTTGCTCATAATAATTAAATTAAATAATAAAGTTTTAATCCAAGTATTATTATTTCTTATAAAAATTTTATAATTTTATTTACTAAAAAAAAAAAAAAATTGTTTCATTTTCTTTAAATTAATTTCTTTAGATATTTACAAGCAGAAAAACAAAATTAACTAAAATATTAAAAAAACTTAATGAGAACTAAACCAATTTATACAAATAATCAAAAAAAAAAAGAAAGGAATTTCAGCAACAAATACAAATAAAATTTGTAAAATGATTGATTATTTTTTCATAACTAGCAATATTTGTAGATAGAACAAGAAGCAATGTGAAGAAAACGACTAAAAAAGAGAATATGAGCCGGATGTGTAAGAATGAATTCGGATAAAAAAAAAAAATGTAAACATAATGTTGTTTGTGGCACTTTGTTAGCATTTATATGAAGGTCTGCGATAATGATTTCGTTCTTTTTTTTTTTTTTTTTCTAAATTTCAAAAGTGTTTAGCAGTCTGTGTGTGTGCGTTTGTGTTTTTAAGCGGTACATTATGAGATGAACCTACGAAGAATTTATCTTCGAATTTTTTGCATTACATTCTCCAAAATACTAGGATCTAAAGTGGAGGCATGTTCCAAATCTTCACTGCTTGCATTTTCCTCAGCTACATTAACAAAAGTACTGGACAATTCACCATTCAACTTATTGACAACACCACTGGCGATATCATACATGAAAATTTCTTGTTCCGCATCAGAAGAGTCGTCTCTGTGAAAGGAGTTATTTGCAAAAATAAAAGTCAAGTCCCTTTTTTAAATTTAGAAAACTTACTTGGTAACCAATAATATCACCGCCTGTTGATCGACATCTGTTCGTGATTCTTTTTCCAGCCATCTTTTAAAATTATCCTTTGTAGGTTTTTTAACCAAAGTTTTTATCAAATCTCCTCCAAGAAACTTCACTTCCTTGCCTTCTTCAGTCGAGGCCGGTGTAGACGACTCGACTGGCGCAAGAACTACAACACTTAATATTTTTCTATCCTTTAACTCATCATTTTCGGGCTTAGGAAATTGAGCGCCATTAATTTTTAAAGGCAAGTAACGATTATATTGACGTTCAGATGAACTTGGAGCATCTTCGCCATCCTTTACTAATTTAACTTCGCTTGTGGGCGACTTTAAATGCAAAGAATTCGTTTCCTTCACACGTTCCAGTCCCTTCTCGTTAATTTTGACCTTATCGCCGTTAGGTTTCAAGACCGTTAGAACTTTTTTTGACTCCGAAATTTGAGCTCCTCCACCACCGCTATAAAAGTGTTGTAAATGTTCTGGCGGCAAATTTTCTAAAGCAGTTTCACCGATCTTATCATAATCGAGAACCGAGATATCCGCATTATTCAAAATTCCCGAACTGAGTAATTGTTGACGCAAATCGTCAGGTACCTCGTCCGGTAGCTGTATAAGTGTTTTTGAATTTGAAGTTGTTGATTGCTGACTAGTGCTGGGCGTTTGGGTAGTGGGTGACGGAGCATATTTCGTAGTTTTGTACGAATCCGGTTGGTATTGAGTATGATGCGGATTACGTCTTTGATCGAGCTCTTTGAAAACATCACCAGCATAGTTCGAAACCCCTAACTGAGCATTATCAGAATCAGTTTGCAGTGAGGATTGTACGCTAACACTGCCCTGACTTTGCTTTTGTCTTGGGTCTATTTGTTGTTGCTGTTGTTGGTGTTGTTGCTGTTGGTGTTGATGATGATGCTGCTGTTGCTGCTGCTGCTGTTGTTGTTGTTGTTGCTTAGTATAATAGTTTTCTTGCTGCTGTTGTTGACTGTATTGAGGCTGCGTACCAGTCACCACTTGACCTAACTGACGTTGCGTATTATGATATTGCTGTTGAGCCTGATATTGTCCATAAACGTTGGGCGGCATAGGTGTAACAATCATAATCTTTTGTCCATCGGTAGACTCGCCAAACTGAGGAGCAGCTGTTACCGCTGGATAAGATTTAGTAGCTGGCGAGTTCTTAAATGAAGAACTTGTCACAAAATTACTGAATTGTTGAGATTGCGATGCTTGATGATGATGCTGTTGATTGTAAGAATTTTGATTGCCGCTATAGGTGTTCTGGCTTTGATCCTTCTGCTGCTGCTGATTGGGATTTAAATTCGGTGCTGGTATATCATGGATAACTTGATTTTGTGATTGATAGCCATTCGGTTTATATTGCTGTTGCACAGTTTCGGTGATATGCTGTTCAAATTTAGGTATAGACTGTAAAAGTTCGGTTTCCTTTAGCAAGCCCAACGGATTATGATTCTGATAGTGTTGGCCAGCGGCAGTTAGCGAAGGAGAGGCAGAAGGAACAGCTCCTGGACCGGAGTGATATTTATTTTGAAATTGAGCTTGCACTTGATGCTGTTGTTGTTGCTGTTGTTGCTGTTGTTGCTGTTGCTGCTGCTGCTGCTGCTGTTGTTTCTGTTGTTTCTGATTATAGTACAATGCGTTGTTATGGTTATTCAAAGCCTGCGTTTGCAAATGATTTAAAGGAGGTTGTGGTTGCGTTTGGTGTTGGGCTTGAGGTTGTATCTGATGTTGGAGTTGCGTTTGTGTTTTATAGTAATTGGCTTGCTGTTGCTGTAGTGGATTAGCCGACCCAAAGTTGAAACTTGACTGCTGTTGTTGCTGCGTATATTGGGGTTGCTTTTGATAGGTGAAAGGTTTATATGTAGCTTTTGAGTAGATCGGCACTGGAGCTGGTGTAGGCCTGAATTTTATGGGCTGATATGGAGCAGGTGAATGTCTGCTGGGTAACTCTTGACCCTTAGGCGGTACAGTAGGGAAAAATATTGCGCTAGCCGAAGGTTTAGCTGACTGAGCCGGTTTTTGACCGAAACCGTTGTAATATTGTGACTGTGATTGTGTTGGCACTTGATGGTATTGCTGATTAAAATTGACATAATAATGTGGCTGTTGGGCTGCTTGTTGTTGATGATGAGCGTTAGCCAAAGGCTTATTAACTGCGTTATAACCCGGCCTTAAGGGCGTTTGCGCTACAGCTGGCTTCTGATAGTATTGCTGAGTATTTGCAGCAGTTTGTGGTTTCAATGGTTGTTGGGGCGGCCTAAAGTGGTTGCTACCATGTTGATTAGGCAATTGTTGCTGACTAAAATAAGCTGATGCGGCTGGCGGAGGTCCAGGCGCTACTGGATTATTAAAATAATAATTCCCGCCCTGATTAGAGCGCGTCTGAGCGAACTGTTGATAATTCAAACCATTATTATAACTAGGATTGTTATGGCTTATTTGGGGAGTTGCTGGCAAAGCAACCACTTCCCGTTGAACACTTTCCGCATCATGTTCTTCAAGTATTTGGCCCACGTGTGATTTATCTTCCGAACCAAAAGTCACATGAATGCCGCTATTGCTATGATATTTCTCGGAGTCCGGATGTATAATTGTTCGAAGTGTAGTCGTCTGGACTTGTGGTAAGGGCGTAGGATAATGCACAACTTCCTCTTCCACCTCCTCTTCGTCATTGTCGTCGTTATTGTTTAACGAAGCTATAGGTGATTCTAAATGCAATTTATTATTGGCGTCCTTCTTGTAGTTGACGTAGTACACGTGCACCTTCTCTTTCTTCTTCTTTGTTTTTGTTGTCACCGGATGGGCAGGTTGTGTAGAGCCTAGCGTGTCGTTAGAATCTTTTATAATGATTTCAATAATCGGTTCCGGCGCTTCTAAATACTGAGGGTAGACGGCGTAGGGCGATGAAGGAAATTGAGCTGAAAACGCCCGGAGAACAAAGACAAAGAAATAAAATATTAAGAAGAACTTTACTGTTATTATTTGAACAATACCCACCTATGGCATTTTCCCCATTAAAATAACCGCTGTTTGTGGGATAATATGAAGTTCTTGGCTCGGCGCTGTAGCCAGCTCGTCTAGCTGCTACTTGAGGATAGAGAAATCCGGCATTACCGAAATCGTACAAAGTACGCTTTCCGCGACTATCAAGATTTTTAGCAGACTTTACTGCTTTTGTTGTTGTCCGGGCTAATGTTGATGATGCTTCTGTTGGCTTACCCGACTTTTCCACAGTTTTATTGGTCGAGGCAGATTTTGTCGTAGAAACCTTTGTTTTCGATTTTGTTTCCCTCTTCTCAGCGATTGTTAATGCTGTCGTTGTTAGGAAGAATAAAATTCCAATCCACTAAAAAAAAAAAAAGAAAAAGAAAATAAAATTTATATAAGTATTCTCTGAGCTTCATATGTATTTTGATGAACAATATGATACGCTGCGAGTGAAATTACAAAAACAAAGTACAAAACAATTCATATTCCATGCGCACAAAATCGCGCATACACATTCGCATTACCATAATGCCAAACATGATTAATTTCTCCAAAGCACAAATATATTACTTTTTATGAGTATACTATGCATAACTGTCATATATTAAGCGTTTATGGGAATTTCTCGAATATATAAAAAAAAAAAAAAAAAAAAACAATTTGAATAATTATTTTTTACTTTCAAATGTTTACAATTCCGGAATACATTGTTTATCCAATTGATCGAAATGGAATATCGTTTATTGCTCTATAGAAAGGTGGTTGTTGTTGTTGTTGTTGTTGTTACTGAAATGTTTAAAAGAAAGATAGACGAATTTCAAAGTGCTTTCTTTCTCTTTCTCTATGTATTTTTCCTTTTCCTTCTGTCTCCCTTTAATCTCATAACGATTAATAAATAAAATGCTGCAAAAGAAAGACAAACGCCGTAAATGTATTTTAGCCAATTATATATATTGCGTTAAAGCGCAGTATGTGCTTGCTTTCCGGTTTGCTTTGAATGAAAACGCTGTGGAATTATGACGATGGATGATCGTCATTTTACCGAATCTATTATTAAATTCAATAAAACGGACAATATATGTAAAAATACACCATAGTGTGATATTCTCACGTGATAACTCGTACCGGAAGAAGCGTTGAGAAAACTTCATCAGCACTGAACTGAGATATCCTATAATACTAGCTGCGTCTACCAGACATTTCTTATTCTAATTAACTTCTGTTTCAATCAATATCTGATCACCTGTGATTAACAATGCGGTCTTACGACTATATGTAAATCGTCTGTTTAACACGGAATTCTTATACTCTTAGTAAGCGTATAGCCAGCCCATGGCAGTATTTTGATGAAAATATTTTTTAACATAATAATTTTAATATGTATATAAGATCTACTTTGTCTTACAGAGCAGTACATGTTCAACATACTTTTTATTTATTTATTTCAAGACAAGTAAAAATAATATAGTGGGGCAGGAGCCAGCATTTCCCCTAGTTCAGTTAATCACACAAGGACTTTTCAAAATATGATGTTATATGGGAAGTAGTACTAGTCGAAGATGTGGTGCAATCGAAGGAGCTTATACCGCTTTTGGGTTGAACACCAAAATACATGGAAAGACATCAGACGGACAAAGGGACAAACAACCTTTGGCCTTGGCCTATCTTAAGTCGTTGTGGGTGTTACGTGCATCCCAACAAACTTGATATACATTGTATCACAAGTTGTATAGGGTATAACAAGTAGAAACGGTGAAGAAAAACATGGTCTTACATCAAATACCTTAGACCACCGATTTTTCAAAATAAGGCTTTATATGGGAAGTAGTCGAAAAAGTGGTTCAATTGGAAGCGATATGTGATAAGCTTAAGTCGATTAAAAAAAGGATTCTGAAATAATTGTTATAATAAAAACTGAATCTATATCGAATCGTCTGCATTATTGCAAAGAATCTCACAAATTTGGTATGCGTCTACCCAGCAGAGTGCAATAAGTCCACCTAACCACTTATATGTAAACACATTGTTATTGAATTTTAGTTAAAATGTTGTGAGAGACTTTTTGTCATATGCGCGCACATGTTTGAATAGCAGTTTAAAATTTAATATATTTTTTATATTTTTTATTTTTGTTTTTTTTTTCTTTTTTTTTTTTTTTGCTTGACAAGCGACGCCTTCAACTTTTGTCGTACAACTTTATTAAAGCCAGTTATTTAGGTTATTAGTTCATGTTATTGTGTGTGCTTATATTGTCGTTACAAATATGAACAAAGTAATTTGCATTTAATAACATGTGTGTGTAAGTGACATAATCATGTTGCTGTTGTCATTTTATAAAAAAAAAAAAAAATGTACATCAATAATTGAGGATGTTTTAATAGCTATTAAGTCATTAGTGACACAAGTGTGTGTGTGTGTGTGTATGTGCGTTAAACAAAAAGAAAATGAATATTTTCAATGTATATATATTATGTAGGTTAAGTATTTATATTTTTATATATATAAATATATAAATATATACATATATGTATATATATGTTTATATATATCAGTATTCCATGACGTAATCAGTTTAACTAAACTGTCCGCTCAATTACCCTTCAAATCAATAGCATATCCTTTAACCTTTGTCGGCCTTGACTAAAATTGTTGCTTAGCAAGCCTGTGATATGCTTTTATGTTTTAATAGTCATAAATTTGAATCATAAACTCCTACGTCACTTTTTCCACCCATTATGTATGTGTAAGCAGATTTAATTATAAACACTTATGTTACATTGTTATTGTAGTAATTTTAAACTTTTTAACGCTACATCGCTACATGGGGTGGTCTTTGTGAGCACTTTTGAAGTCAAATTCCCACCAAATGAGTTATGATTTTTAGAAAATCATAGGTTTTATGTCCCAATTCTTAGAAGATTTGACCTACAAATCATGTACAGAAACTTGTATTTATAACCTTCTGAATGCTTTTTCTGATCATGTCTGCTCGATAATTACAGATTAACGCTGCAAAATACTGCAAGTATTTTGCTTATCTACTTCACTTATCAAGGCCTAACTTCGTTGCGACATTTTTGTCTTTCCGCCAGTAGTCAGCCGCATCGGCAGATATGTATGCAGGAATGTATATTTTCTTTCACCAAATATTTATTATTGGGTTTCGGTGCAAAATCGGCTAATTTTCATGCAGATTGATTTCATCAAAGATGGGATTTCCAATTAAGGAATCGAATCTGAATAATTTTTGATAAGATTCTTTACAAAAATGATTCAAGTTCCGTATATTCATAGGTTTTAAAGCAACGCCAAAGTCAACGTAAACTTAGATATCAAGAGGCTCAACTGAAGACAACTATTATGGGTTTCATTTTTTCTTCTTCTATCTACCATAGATAGTGCATAAATAAAATTTTGTAAACGCATATAACTATGCATCGCTCGGAATCCTAGCAAAGATATATATTCTAAGTCAACCGAACTGATTTTAAAATGTCCGTCCGCCTGCCTGTTGTGTGTCTGTTGCAATCACGATCTTCATCTTAAAGCTAGGCCCAGAAGAAACTACTTTTCGAAAACGAGCTTAATCGATTTATCGGTCCAAACATTATTATAAAAAAAACTGACTTTAGATCTGCGGGCTGGATTTTAAACTTTTCTTACAATCAATCCCGTAATCAATTTCGAAAATCAACTCAGCTTTACAGGGATTTCATCTCTGGACACCAGCCAGTCATTGCATTTCTAAAACCGACGACATCGGTATGGATTTTACTTCCTAAGAACATTTGAAAAGAAGAACGCCTCCAAGCCATATGAAGATATGCTTAGAAGAATGAGTGATATACAATTTAATATAGCTACGCAGTAGAATATATTCGTATCGTATATGTAACGAGTGTGCATACAGTGCAATCACCGTGCACCAGTGTAAGGTCGGTAAAAAAAATATTAAGCTAGGAGGATACAACTTCCTTTTTGTTGTTGTTGTTAATTCCTTTTTCGTTATATACGTTATTAGCTTTGTGCGGACCTTGACAAGGCTTCGGAAGGCTTCGGTTTTTACGCTCTATTATATCTTTTATTTCACCTATCAATTCAGAATCATTTTCTGAATCGATCTAAATCGATCGTTTCGTCCCACGTTTGCCCAGCAATGTGGTTGTTTTCGCACTAACTTTTTTTCTGCTGCCTTATTACAAATAAGCAAGGAATGAATAAAGAGATGTTGACCAAAATAATTCGATTCAAGCAATTTACTCCCATTTTTTGATGGCGAAAAAGGAAAAAAATGGAATAGAATAAAATAATGTGGGATTATCTCTTAGAGTGTTTTCCCAGCAGTTTCTACTCTCTACTCTTGGAGATCTCCTGCCCAAATATTTCCACGAATTCAGTGCCGAGAAAATCTTCTCATTAATACATGTTTCTTAAGGATAAGAGTTGCTTCTAAAAATAAAATTCGCTTTATTTTTTTACAAAGTAATTTTAATCGTCAGCTTGTTTGGGGACGACCTCCAATCGACCTCCGAAAGTGATTCAAACAAACTAATGTGTAGCAAATTCAAAATTCCTAAGTCTTAGAATTTCGTTTTGATCACGGATCATATATATAGATTATAGATTACAATTCAAACGACAAAAACATATAGCAGAGTATAAAACTAATAATAATCATCCCTAAGGTAGTCAGTCAGTCTTAATTTATTTAAACAAAAACTTTGAAAACACTTATAAACTTTAACAAAAAAAAAAAAAAAAAAAAAAAAAATTACTTGAAAAAATTTTCCAAATATTCCCTTCGAAGGTAAAAAAAAATAAACGTTACTTTAATAATGACTGCCAAAAAGAAAACAAAAAAAGAAAAAGAAATGCTTATGCAGAGTATGAGTTAAAACGTTTATAAAAAAAACGCTGGCCAGCAGGTTTACTTAACGTGATTACTTTCGTTTTCGATGGTTTGAGGGAATTTTTTTTCTCCTATTATAATTTTGTTTTTTTTTTTTTTTTTTTTTTTTACTTCAGATTTTTACTGCACAGTCTGGTTTCATTTGGTATGTACGTGTAAGATTTGAAAAAAAAAGTAAAAAGTCGTGTATTATGAACATAACTTCCGTTAAAAAGTTTTATTATATTTTTTTTATTTTTATTTTGTATTTTTTTGTATTTTGACAGTTATTATTAGTCATAAGACATATATCGTTCAGTGCATTCTATCAACTTTCATATCTCGGTATGTCGTAACTAAATACCTGGTTTGTTGTTTAAGTCTTTCGTTTAGTAGCACACATCATCCAACATGGATTTGCTTGATACGTAACATTAAATTGATTTTCTTGTTAGTTTCATTTTCTTTTT